TAAACGTATGAATTCTTACAATATCAAGGTAAAATAAATAAGCAATCAAAACAAAAATGTTTTTGTGTCGTCTTTGCAGAAAAAAAATTGTAAATCCCTTGCATGTTTTAAGAATCTTTATAGATCAATTTATAAGTCATTTGTATAGTTTTCACTGATTTTATTCAATTTTTACTCTGCAACATAATAACATATTTATTTTTAATTTTATAGCATAATATTTCACTTTGTACATAGTAATTTATTTTGTATACAGTCTTAATGAAATAAATGTATTTTTGTGAAATACATTTATTATTTAGTGTAAAATTAGTTCAAGTGTAAATTATCAATGTAATGGTTGTCTTAACTTATATGTTAATGCATTAGAAATAATCAAAAGCCATAATATATATATATATATATATATATATATATATATAAACATATTGACAATCTTATTCCAGTTATGAGTAAGCTCAATAAATTATTTAACAGAAGCATAATAAAATTAACTTATTGCAAATAATCCGATAAATAAAAAAACATAACATAAAAGTATCTTATGTGTGTGTGCGTGTATATATATATATATATATATATATATATATATATATATATATATATAATAGCAATAGTTATAACAAAGATAGTGTAATGGCTGAAATGCTGTCAGTCAGTGAAAATTTGAAAGAAAGGACATTTAGGCCAAGTAATCTTTGCAATAACGTACTTGATATCAGAGATAAACCATTAATATGATTAATACAAATATAAGATTTGTCCCTTAGCTGATTGACATTATATAACATCAATCAGCTAAATGACAAATTTCATATTTATATTAATCCTATGTCAGGGCCAGTGCCTGCCCTCTCAATTTTACATCTAAATTATCAAAAGAGAGTATTCATATAAAATGCAGATTTTATGGTAACGTAATTATGTACAATAATCGGCACATACAAAAAAATTCAAAATTCTTTTTAAAATAGTGGCAAGGGAGTGGGCTATATTGTACTAAGCTTTTCCATTTATGATTAGTAAATATAGTTTTTACTTAATAACAATAACCACTACCAGGTACAAATTGATACAAAATTATAAAAGATTTAAAACTATAAATTATTCTAATTAAAATTTAATAAAAATGAAAACAGTTCATGTAAAAATTCATTATTCATTGAAGACATTTTTTTCTGAAAATTTAAATATAAAAATATAATTAAAATTTTATTTAATGTATTTTGCTCGTGGTTATCTTTTGTCTGTTTTTCAACTTTCAACAGCAACTTTTTTGTAAATATTCAAACCCAAGAAAATAAAAAATATAAAAAACAATATGGCCTCTGTTCTGAAATTCTGGCATAACATTATAAGTACTATTTTCACCGAGTGAGTAGTTGGAGCTTGTGTTGTTAAGGTTCATAGTTGTATCTTTTTGAGACAAAGTTTCAGATCAAAGAGCAAGGCTGTCGAAAAAAAAAAAGGAAAAAAAAAAAAGGCCCCAGAATGAGATCAAAATTTGCAAAAATTTTTCAGCCATTTTTTTTCAGTCAGTTGTGCTACTTCAATTTGTAATGTATATAAATGTACGTAGAAAAAAGCAAGCATTGAAAAGATAGTGAAGGTCACCACATAGCACTACCAGTGACCCCCAATCAGGCTTGACTCCCACCAGCCAGTTGGGGGGTTCAGAGGTGGTACATGTTATTCTTGTCCTCTATATATATATATATATATATATATATATATATAGGTACACCTGGAAATGAGTGTCCAGTCATTATATATATGAATTTTTCAGGAGAGAATTACACTCAAGGTGAGGATGATAAAGTTGTTTGTAAATATATAAACATGAAAAATATATAGAAAATATTCTCTACTAACAATTTTTTTCTTTTTTATTTAATTTCTAACAAGCTACAGTGTAAAGAGTCAGAAGACATTAATGCAATCAAACAGACAAATTAGTTTCATATGAAATTCAACCTGAAAGGTATGCAGGTTTATTTGGTTTTATTTATCTCTTTGCTCCTTGTGAGTCAGGTAAAATAGCATTGAAAAGACATTAACTATATTTTTTTTTCTCTCATTTTGTCTCTGATGCATATTTCATTGCAAATCAGAAGAACTTAAAATTTTATTCTAATGCAGGTTTCATTTATACCTGAAAGGTCACTTCTATTTTCCTTTTAAATTTTCTTATATTTGGTTCTGAAATACTAATCTGAAAAGGGTATCAGTGGTCATCATTTATTTAAAAAAATCTAAACAGCCAATTTTGATATAACTTTATACAGTTATCAAATAATGCAATTCTGTATTGATGAAAGAATGCTAAAATAATTTTGCTGGATTCAAGGATTATTTCCTGTTTGAGTATGAACTGCCTGCCATAATAGAATGAACATTTTAGAAAAATACATACAAACGATACATTATTAATAAGATTTATGATTCAATGAAAAATTATATAAACAACTCATAAAAATGTTACTATAATTTTGAAGTTGAAACTAGTAAGAATTACAAATTAATATAATTTTAAAGCTGAATAGAATAAATATCAACTTTTATTAGATAAAATTACAGATGATTCTGGCAGGATTAAAATTAAAAAAGAAAATCTAAGAAAAAAGTTGAGCAGAAATGTCTATATTTATAGACATTTCTGCTCAACTGACCCATTTCTATTAGAAAACAGAATGATAAACTCAAATTGCAAAAAAGGAAGTGAGATGGGAGTGAATGCTGAAATAAACAAAAATGTTGGAAAATCTAAAATTTAATGAGATTTATGAGAATAATGTATGAATTATTGTATCTTCAAATAATAAAACATCAATACTCAGTTTGGAAAAAAATATTAGCTAAAAAGTATAAATATGAAAAAAAATGGTAAAAAAAATTGGCAGATTTAATATGAACTAAAATTAGACTTCCCATACATCTCATTTTGATGGGTTTATCTGGAGATATAAACCAGAAACTAACAGTATACTTTTCTGTGGGTGTCGGCCATGAAGCTTAACAGTTGTTGGGTAATGAAAACATCATATTATACAACTAAATAATAAAAATTAAAAACTCTTCTGGTTTGAGATTTGGAAATTATGGTAAGAATAAATAACTTGAATAAATTGGTGGAATTCTATCCCAGGATTTTTAAAAATTTTATCTATATGAGAGGTGGGGGTGGTACTGAATAACAAACTTGGAATTTGGTTTTACTGTCTGTGACTTTATCAAGATTCTGGTTAACATAAGAGAAAGAGTATTTAATCATCAGAAAGTCTTTGGAAATGGAAGAAAACATATGGAACTCTCTCACTCTTTCTTTTTTCTTCCCTGGCTGCATCCTGTCCTACTATGAATTAATAGCTTTTGCAGAACTTTTGGATTATACAGATGATGGCCACGTCGTCTAAGATTAAATTTTGCCTATCAAAGATAGACATGGCTGACATTGAGACTTTGAACAAGAGTAAGAGAGTTTTGATTTTGTTTTTTAAGCAAAATAAAAATCTAAAAACAAAGCAAACATTATTCTGAAATTAACTTTAAGGATTTGTATTCTTCAAATGGGAATACACATTTTTCATATCTTCTTTCTTATGTTATGTAGGTAACATCTGGAATGTTACCTACATTTATGATTTGTTTTTAGTGTTACACTGATCTTTTGATATCAATCTGATTTTTAAGATGAAAATTTCAAGAATTTACAAAAATGATTGCAATTAAAAGCATTTCTTTTTGAAATAATTGGTTTCAGGAAGCTTCCAGCGATAGTAGTAATCTCAACTAATTATAAATGGTCAAATACTTACAATAACTTTATTGACTCCTAAAAGCTATGGGAATCTGTTATAGACATATAAATATTTTATTTATGAGGGTGTGTGTTTTGATTTAATATTTTAAGTATAGTAGTAGCATAATTTATCAATGTTAATTGATAAATATTATTTAACTGAAATATGAGAGATATATTTCCCCTAACTCCTCCTGCTAAGGAGACCTAATATAATGAGGTGCTCAGTGATAAATATGTAACTAAAGGCTATGCAAAGATAATCACAATGGAAATCCTTATTATTATAGAATCAAGAAAAATATTAGATTTAACATTTGATAAATAATATTTTTGTTTTGCTGAAATAAGTATTTAAGGAGACAATATAAGAAGACTTGAAATTTAATTATAAAATTTATTAACTCAACTGATATAGAATTCCTAGCAAGCAAGGGATACAAAAGTAATATACATGAGAAAAATTAATGGCAAATGTATAAACAAACATTAAACAAAATTCCATTTTTTAGTAATGCAGGTTATTTCTGTTGATAATAAGGAATAGTGAACCAGACAACATTTTAATGAAATTTCTTAAGAAAAAAATAATAATAACAATCAGCACTTAAAATTCACAATTAAATGCATAAAATTAATATTTTTTGCATTCTTATCATTTTTTTTTTACAAATGTTTCAGTTAGGTGTATGTATGTGAAAACTGGAAATTTTTTTTACTTAATCAGCAAAAAGTGGCCTCTTAAATACATGATTTTTCTCTTTGATTAAAGTTAAAGTGAAATAGAATTTTTTGTGTGATTTTGTTTAAATACTAAACATGTTAATAGAGTTGCAAAAACTTGCCACCTGTAACATTTAGTCCATATGAATTAATTTTTTTTATTTTGTGTAATGCAAATAAATGACACACCCTATAAATTGGAACTTGACAAAAATGTATCTTACTGATAATTCTATTTGATCATAGCAGTATGATCATTAATTGCAAGAGTCAGAATATTATTTTAAAAATGCAGTAAAGTTGTGACATTTTGCTGATCACAAAAGACACTTTATAAGAGCTGCATGGTTATTAGGTAATTCATGAAAAAATCATATAGTTTTCAAATAACTTATATTCTATTAATGTTCTTAAGTAAAATTGTTGTGAACATATTACAGTGAAAATAGAAAATGATCATGTTGACAATAAAATTTACCCTTTAGCATCTGAAAGCCTCCAGTAAAAATCTCTCGGATTGTTGCACCATCATCTTCATCAACAGCCAGCCAACTGCAATAAAAACATTGAAAATTCTACTTTAGAATCTAATTCTGTGAAAATATTATAATCTCACATTTACAACAAACACTTAACAAAGTATAATGGTAACAAAATTTGTCTTACAATACATTGAAAGGGATTTTATCCCTTAATAGAAGATACATGTTCCTTATGACAAAGTTGAATTATTCCTAACAAATTATTTACATGTCAGTTATCTCCTGTTAATTTCCCTCTCAAAGTTCTCCACCACCTTAACCAGGTATTGAACTCATACTTTTTTGGGTCCTGTCCCACTGTGCCATGTGTCCTTGAGGACATCTGTCTATGAATTTCTGGGTTTATAAACCTAATGTCTTCAGCAATCATTTTTTACCAGTGCTCATATTGTAATTTTTACTGTTATCATTTTATGTTTTTTACCAGAGCTCATATTGCAATTTTTTTTGTTATTATTGCTTTTCTCTGGCACTCCTTATTACTGGTTCCCATATTGTATTCATTTCTATGCTTAGTCAGCTCAGGAGATCCACAGATGAGAAGTATGAGAAAAGAAACTATTAAAATAGTACATGCAGTTATATCTAGGTAGTTCAACAATAAAACAATGAGATCTAGTTGCCAATCTAGAAGTACACTTAAATTCATGTGGTTGAGGAGGAGAGCTCATTAGAACAATTACCATAAAAATATTTGGAGAAAAGACAGAGGGAAGTCACATCATGGATACAGGAAAGTGATTGAAGCAGAGATGGCAGGTCAAGGCCAATAACATTACAGATTTGGATTTTGTTGAAAATCTTGAAAAATACACAGCAGCTATACCAGACCAGATATAGCAGTAATATTCAATGCATGATAGATTTATAAATGTGCAAGATTCTGGTGAAAAATTATCTGGCACATCGCAATCAACCAACTTTCCTAGCAGCAGACCTAGAAATTGATTCAATATTATCATTCCACAGTGGAAAACATGAGACAAAGAAGGTGCAATGAGTCACTCTGGAGGTTAGCATCAGCCATACAGATGGAGGGTAAATAGTTTGCTTTGATGATTAAAAATTGGTTCATTTTGGGGCTATTAAAATTTACAAACCATTTCTTGCTCAAGTTAACAACAGATTGGAGGTCATTTTTGAGAGCAGCTGCCAGTTTTTCTTTGGCAGACATATCGGACTTACTATTAAGACAGGAGCAAATAGTTGTCTCATCAGTATACAGTAGTAATTTAAAACTCCAAAATTTAATGAAAAACAAAGCATATTTAAAATTGAAATTTGTTCTTGTTAGTATTTCATTTCTAGCTTTTTTTTACTTTGTAATTTTATTTTGTAAATTAACATGCTCTTTACAAAGTTTGCATATTAATTACTGTTTATTTTATTTTTAATTTAAAAAAAATGCTCTATTGTATTATTTATTTTGTTCTTTTTTGTTCCTTTTGTCATTGCTTTTTGACACAGGAAAAAGGGTTTATTGTATTATTTAATTTTTTTCCTTTAATTTGCTCACTTTTCAACACAGAAGAAAAGGGTTTAAAAAAACACATGTTCACTTGGCACTGCTTTCCAACAGTGTACAATAATTTACATGAGTAAGTGCAGTAAAAGCTGTAAAAAGGCTGATAATTAATCTTTCACATGCAAAGTGTTCTGCAGTGAATGTAGTTAAACAAGGCACGTAAAGGTGAATGAATGAATGTGACTGAGTCCGGAATTTTATTGTTGATAACTTCAAAACAGTAGGTTTTATCAGAATTTGGGCATTATTTTTGAGTTCCGCATATAGATTTACATGGAAATATGACGATTTGGGAAAGTTATAATAGATTTTCTTTGTGGGACTTAAAAAGCAAATTTACCAAATAAAATTCATTTGCAATTAAGCAGAAAATAGTAATTTCATTTTGATACAACATTTAAGTGCAACGCAGAATCTATGATATTAAATAAGAGTCAGAGGATAACATAAACTCTCAGTGTTAGAGAAAGAAAAACATTCAATCCAAATTAATTAAATCACCCCCCCCCTTTACAGGAAGAACCTTCACTAAATTTTTCAACAACAGATCAGAGGAAATTATCTAATTTTCATTTTATACAAGAACCTGAATTTGAATGTAACTTACATTCCTATGTCTTTTGAATGGTAACAGTTGTGATAGCAGAGTTAGTTTTGAAATCATTTTGCATATTAAAAGAGTCTTTAAAATTACACTTTGAAGGTCACTTCAGTTGTGGTTTTAATTTATTGACATTTAGAAAAATATTCCTTTGGTATTAATGAATGACAAATTTTTTTTGTTAAAAAAAAAAGAAATATGTTAAACAATCAATGAGAAACCAAATCAGACTTTTTCTTCATTTATACTTTTGTATCAATATTCAGAATTTTATAAATTTATTTTATATTTTCAATCCTATTTTATAAAGTTTTTCACACACACACACACACACACACACACACACACACACACACACACACACACACACACACACACACACACACACACACACACACAAGATCAATTTTATTTGTTTATCTTCAAAACCATGATTATTACATCCAAGATAATAATTGCTATTCTGCATTCATTTAAATGTGGATGAATATATAATAAAAAGAACAAAACTATCACAAAATAGTTATACTTGTTTTAGCAGACCTCTTAACATGTCTAGGTAACTATAATAATTTAAAAACCTTAAATAGTAAAAAGAATAAATGCAAACATTAATAACATTTTTTTGTTTTTGTTACACATTCAAATGAATCTGACCTAATTCTGAGATAGCATGTGCAATAAAGCAACGTGACCATCAGAATCTCCCACTGGTTTCAAATTAAAAGAAGAAGATGCTATGGGATCCTCTATACTTGCCTGTCACCCCCTACGGGAAGATGCACTCTTCTCCAAATTAACCTTTAACCAATCATCACTTCACTTTTCCAAACTCAACTTCCCATTGGTTAAAAGGACACAAAAATGTAGCAAGTTGAGACAAATCCTTTTTTCCCCGCACAGCTGTCTGGAGTCTATTTGAAAACCCTAAAATCTATAAAAAAGAATCGCTCGACTTAATTCAAGTCAGTCAGACACTGAGTTTCGAGAGATGCCAGCAGACTGACTCAATAACACTACCAGCCTCTTATCAACTTAACACAACTCGTACTACTATTGCTGTGTGAAGAAACTTAACTTACAATTTACTAAAAAAGTAACATTATCACTACAAAATAGTAATTGTACATCTAATCAAATTTAGCATATCAGTCAAAGGCACACAACTGTTCATAAATTGAATCAACACTTGCAATTGTCACACACATACACACTATTATTTGATCTCACACAACTGACATTTTACCTTACAGAAATCAAACTGTTTTAATTTCACAAACAAACTTATACCATCAACATTCATTCACTAAATCTCTGTATGGACACTCTTTGCAATTTTATCTCACTTGCCACATTTAACATGCAACCTATCATCACTTTGTATATGTCAAATATATGTATAAATTCATGTTATGTTGATTTCTTCAAGTATTGTCTTCATATGTTCATTTAATTCATTTGTTGTGGATAAATGCATAATGTACACGCACATTTTAGGCCTTCACACAATTTTACTTTCTGACACATCTTAGCATAAATTCTGCAATGTACTGTTTACATGACAGAGTGACATTCAGTAAAAATTGGCTTAAAAAATGGTTGCAACATGCTATTTTAAATGCATCAATGAGGCTCATTGTTAGCAAGCTATAATTTAATTTATGATAAGCCATATGTCTAAATCAATTATTACCTAATATGAAGTTGATGTAAGATTTCTTGGAGATAAATTACAATATGGAAAGATGAATATAAAATGCATAATAACCTGATTTCTAGATGGAAGCAACAATTAAATTATTTAAGAATGTTGCATTTCAGGTAATATGAAATATTTTGCAAGAATTTGTTATTGTGAAAAACTTCAATAAGATTATTGTAAATCAAAAAGATTTGAGTCCTTTGGTCCATAGCTTACTGTAACCACTACTACAATATCTATCACAGAGAACAGTGTTGTAGGATACTTGATGCATTCAGAACTGCCTGCAATTATTACAAGAGAATTCTAGAAAATGCAATATGCTGCTATGCACAAGGCGATCAGGGCATGGTTGAAAGCAAACTTGGGTCACAGGAGTTCTGGAAAAAATCTCCAACTGAGTTCTTAATAAAGGCAAAGCATCAGTGCCTACTATCATAAATGGCTCTGTGGTAATCTACAGCAAAGTTCTTTGCCTCTAACTCAACATTAGATGATAAAGCCCATCCCTTTCCAGACTGAGAATTTTTCTTAATTTATTTGTACTTTTGCAATTTTGAACATTTTTTACAAATTCATAATCAGTCATTAACTTTTTAAAAATTCTTTTCCCATTCTTAATCCCATTTTTTTGTATTGTGTCCTTCTTCTCTACTTCTTCTTTGATATAAACAAAATTTCTGACAATATAGAAATGGCTTGCTCTCTCTCCATTCATCTGTAAATATTTTTGTGTTTGGTGATTTTAATGCTTATCATGTCAGTGGCTTAAACATTTTAATTTTACTGATGTTGCCAGTATTCAGACTTTAAATAGTGGGATTTCCATACTCGTTCCCCAATGAATATGATTAACACTCTTATTTACTTGATTTGTTCCTTACCTCCTCTCCTACCTCTTGTCAAGCATCACAAATTTGTCATCTTGGTAATTCAGATCATAATGTAGTATCTGTTGGTATTTCTTTTGAGTCATCTATTAGACAGGAACCTTCTATTCACATGAACTCATTCTGTTACCAGTGTACTGATTGGGATTCATTTTGGGACTTTAAGGTTAAGAAGGAATGCCTCAAAGAATTGAGGCACTCCTTCCTAAACTTCCTGTTGAGAATTGTGCCACAGAGGTTTTTTCTTGGGTTAAAGCTGGCCACGATATCTTTGTAACTTTTCAGAAATACC